ATATTCAGGAATGATATCTAGAGCAAAAACTGAATTCGGGTGTAAGGAATAAACCATAGTTTTACTTTGGAACAAAGAATATCATTACTACATATGAAGATATCATTCTAATCATTAGATGATCGAATAAAAATCAAATGCTTCAAATTCATAGTTTAGGGAAGACCTTCCTAAATTACTGAAAACATGTCCTAAAATAAATAGTTTGACAGTATAGCATCTATACACACAAAATCACTCTATCTTTGTTAGACCATCTAGACATGAACTCAAACTTCCACTTCAACGCTCATTGCCTCATCTTCTGCATTAACTCAGTCTTGGTCAATAAATATTTGTTAACATATATATCATCAGGACCTCGTGGTGAATGTGCCAATAGGAATCAGACTACAATCTACAACAGGAAGCAAAGCCAATGACATATTGCCTCTTCCCTTTTCAGATTTTGAACATGTAATATGAGACACATATAGAAGACTTTTCGACTTATGGGTGAGGTTTCTGATATGGTTCAAATTACCTATAACTACTCTCTCAAATAAGAGATCAATTGCAGTATTTTAGGATTGAATTTACGGAGTTCTTTTGTTCAAACAGTGAGTTAAATGTTGAGATTAAGCTAGCAGGGTATGAGTGAATTAGTAAGAAAACAAAGTAAGAAAATAGCAGAATGATTGGGTTGTAAACGATTAGGAAAAGAGCTACGAACAGGGTATTCTCAGGAAACTATTGGTTAGTAGATCTAAGAAAGCTAGGTTGTTATCGAATCATTCTTAAACTAAAACTCTAATTATGGAATAACCGGTGGGCGTGCCGCGAAACTCCCTATATCCATAGCTAATAATAACCGAAGAAGCCGAGAAACTATTAACCTAAATATGCATTCTTAACGAGTTCAATTGTTCATCTTAGTAGATAGGCCGATTCTTATTACACACCTATAAACCAGACTCATCAAATAATAGATCCAACTACAGATACCTATGGCGGGAATATCTATTGTCTTGATTCAAGATCTAGTTAATTACTCTAAATCTAGCATTAAGCATAATTAAAGATGAAGAATTCTATAGATAACCTAGCAAAAGGGGCAATCTACTAAACCATATGAATCCCTAATGAGAAACCCTATTCCTAACAAGCAGATTTCTCAGACATATTGAATGAAACAATCAACATAATTGAGTATGAAAGCATAAACACAGCAAAGGAGATAAGAGTTAGAAAACATCTCTTCACTGTATTAAGAACTGGATTGAATCTCTCAAGAACTGGAGATGAATAACTTATGTCTTTCACAGTAGGGTTTGCAGAGAACATGATAAAAGACTTGATAAAAGAAACTTAGGTCTAAAAACAATATATATAAAACCCTAAAAACATCCAGTGACTAATAATGCAAACAGGAAAGTCCTCTGGGGCAAATTTCCTCTTCTGTAAACTTGAAAGCGTCATGGACTTCTGCTGGGCCGAAACTGGTGTCGATCGACACCAAAAGTGTGTCGATCGACACTCAGTTATTCCTGAACCAAAATCATCTTTAGCTTCCTTTTCCTTAGATTTTGCTGCAAAATGTCTCCTTATCTCCATTATTGTCCCATTGCATAGAATACCTGAAAAGACACTATAAAGACTCGAGAAATAACATAAAGACTCAAAATCGTATACCTAAAACATAGATAAAATCGGTGAAAATAGGGTTATATCAACTCCCCCAGACTTAGCTTTTGCTTGCCCTCAAGCAAAACACAAAAGCCGAACCCGTGGAAGAGGTTTTGAAAACAAAGGAACTCCCAACATTCTCTTACCTATTGCCATGATCATCCGAACTAAGTCCATATGCTTAACAAGTGTAATCAAATCCTAACCAACATGTACTTCTCTACAAGCTTACACAACATTCTAGATTTCATGCCTAAGTTCCACAACTATATCCACCAGGCTTTCATCGGTGGGTCTCATCAAACAAGCCAACATTCAAGATCCTTCTAGACTCATTCCTGTATTATACCATGATAAATTGACCATTCTTTATATATTCTTTTCTTTTTTGGTGTTCTTTCTCTCCCCTAGAGTTATTCTTTTTAGAGAGTAAACAAAGGGGAACTCGCGTACTGGATCGACACCCTCAACATTTTTCCAACCTTTGTAATTGATCATTCCAAATAATGTATAATAACGGGGTCATAGGAAACATTCCTCCCCCTATGCACTATCTGAAAGTTGTCTCAATCTCTCATCATATATTTTTTTTTTATAAGGGGAGAGAAACATATTATTTTTATCACATTGGTCTCAATGTCAGGTATAAACAAGGAGTCAAGATCTATGAATACTAACCGCTTGAAGAGGTAAAAGTAAGAGCAGTGAGATTAGCTCCAGCCTTAGTGGTTGAGTTGGAAACTAGGATATTCTCAAGTCTGTTGCTTTACCATCTAGATTTTCCAATAGTCAGATTGACTCAAACCTGCAATACTCATCAATCAAGCAATAAACAAGAGAAATATAGATCATGATTCCTAACTAAACTAAACAAAACATTTTTTTTTTTTTAAAAAAGAAATAAAAGAAATAACTAAATGAACTGCAAAACGAAAATTAATAAGAAACAAAAATAAAAGCCATATTAGTATGAACCTCCCCCAGACTTAAATGACACTGTCCCCAGTGGCATTCAAATCCAGAGAAAGTGGAAAAAATAAATCAAAAATAAAAGAAAATAAAAGAAAGGGAAAAGAATATTAAAACCAGTGGGTTGCCTCCCACCAAGCGCTTGTTTTGAGTCAATAGTTTGATTTGGCGGAGTTCAGGATGTGGGTGGTGTGGTGGAGGATTGCTGCTGCCTCCTCGCCTTCCAAGGCGGTGTGTAAACAGATTGGTTGGAGCAGCTTTTGGTGTCGATCGACACGAAGGGGTGTGTCGATCGACACTCTTCTTGTCACCTGTAAGAACAATAGGACAAAAAAGCTTTTGAGGAACTCTACGCTTGTTATCTTGTGAAGCAGTCTTCGAATAATCCAAAGAATTAATCAAAGATAAAACAGGAGAAGAGAGAGAAGAGAACTTATCACATAGGTCCTCAAGTGGTGTGGGCTGAAGAGAATGTGCAGAATCCTTTGTCTGTGAAACCCGAGGGTCTTGATCGACAAGGGTAGTGGTGTCGATTGACACTGTTGCTTTGCAACTCTCATTGGCGAGCTGAGCGGGTTGGAGCGTTTTGTGTGGCTCTGTGGTGGGATTCTGATCAGTTTGAGGAGGTGTGTTTATGCTGGAAGCAATGCAACTGACAGGCTTAGTAAGCTCTGAACCATCCATGCCAAACTTCATCTCCAAATCACAAACCTTGAGAGAGATTCTCCCTCTCTTCACATCAAACCTAGCACCAGCTGTAGTTAGGAATGCTCTTCCAAGGATAAGAGGATCCTTGAGTTCCTTCTCATAGTCCAGGACCACGAAATCAGCAGGGATTATGGAGTTACCAACCTTAACAGAAACATCTTCAAAGATTCCTCCAGGGATTCGCTTGGAACGATCCGCGAAGAGAAGAGTGATGCGAGTAGGCCTGTAGTGAGTCATGCCTAGTCTCTCAGCAACAGACTTAGGCATGAGGTTAATGCTTGATCCCAGATCACACAAAGAGCGGCAGAATCTGCTTGTGGAGATAGAGCAATCAAGAACAAAGCTACCTGGATCTAAAAGCCTCTCAGTGGTCTAACCAGGAGTAATGGTGCGGATGTACTCAGCTATGTCTACTCTCTGTACCTTCTCCTTCTTGGCCTTAGGCAGCATAATTGCACTGATGTCTCTGGTAAGTAGCTTAGCTTCATCTAAGCTAATTCCTTTGTCAACAAGTCGCTTGACATACCTGTTGAGTGAGGCGGAAGATGTCTCAGAAGCATCCTTATGAAGAGTATGGAGGATCTTCTCCATTATGGCTGTGCACTTGGCAGCATGAATCTCCTTCTTAGAACGACTCTTCCTCGGATAAGGGATAGGAGGAATGTAAACGGGCTCGGGCTCCATAGGTACTTGCACCTCACAAGGTGCAGTCCGGATCTAGTGTCGATCGACACTAGATGGGTATCGATCGACACCGTCGTATTGAGTCGTCTCTGAGAAAAGCGTCCCATATGGTGTCGATCGACACAGGAGGGTGTCGGTCGACACCATCTCTGCAACTGCAAGCTCCAACTCGTCTTCAGTGTCCAATTCCTCCCACACATCATCTCCTTCTCTGATCAAGATGGCATTGCAGCTCTTCCTTGGGTTAGCATCAGGATTACCAGGAAGAAAAATCTCTTGTCTCTTGATAGATTGTGCAGTTTGAGCTACCTGTACATCTAGTTTCTTCAAGTGAGAGCTCAGATTGTCGATCTTCCCATTAAGATCTGTGTAGACAACATCAAACTTGCCATTAAACTCCACAACAAGCTTTGATTGGCTCTCCAGAATCTGCTCAAGCATCGATTCCATTCTTGTCTCTGCTGAGGGTGGAGGGGGGCTTGGTAAGTTGAATTACCATAGGTCCTCTGAAAGCTGCTTTGAGGAAAGGTCTTCTGGAAAGCAGGCTTTGGAGTGTAGTTGGAGGAACCCTGGTTCCATGTAAACCTGTTGCCACTGAAGTTGCCATGTGGCTGCCCAAACTTCCTGTATCCCTGACCATCTATGTAGAAGACTTCTTCCTTTGACTCAGGCTCAGGCTCAATAGTCTCTTTTGCAGCTGCAATGTGGACATGCTTCTTCCCTGTGAGCAAGTTATGAACTGAATCCAGCTTAGCATTCACCTCTCCCATCTGATTTCCTGAAATAGCTCCATCAATCTTCTTCCTCTCAAAATCAAATTCTTGGTGCTGTTGCTGCAAGCGAGGTTCTCTATCAGGGTTGTAGCATCAGCTGGGTAATGTGTGTTGAAGTTACCATTGATCGATGCATCTAGAGCCATCTGGTATCTCCAAACAACTCTTCTGAAGAAGGTACCTAGAAGTTGTACCTCACTGAAACCATGATGTGGGCAATCTCGTTGGTACTCCTTGAAACGAACCCAAGCAACCTTGAAAGCTTCAACTGGACCTTGTGTGAAGGTAGACAGCTTGTTTCAGTGAGGCTTTCTCAACTCTTCAGACTTAGCATCATCGTAGAAATTATTCAAGAAGGCTATCTTGATGCTTCTCCAAGTCTTAAGTTGTTTCTGCCAAGAAGCTGCTTCTCCAGCAAGTGAATAAGGGAAGAGCTTGCACAGTAGGTAGTCCTCTGAGACTCCATTAGCCTTGATGCTCAGAATAAAGTCCTCAAATCTCTCGATATGATCCATTGGCTGCTCATGAGATAAACCATGGAAAGGATGCTGGCCAACTAAAGCAAAGTAGCCAGGCTTCAGCTCAAAGTCGTTCCTTTGGAATGGTGGGGGTACAATCACTGATCGATTAGCATAGAACAGGTCAGGCCTGTTGAAATCCCCAAGAGTACGACGTGGTTCCGCAGCTGGAGGAATAGCTGCAAAAATCTGGTGTTGGTGTCGGTCGACACCTCTGTTGTGTCGGTCGACACCAATCGCATCGTCGTGCTGCTCCCGATGGTGTTGATCGACACCTCTCCTGTGTCGATCGACAGCGAGCCCTGCTGCGTCTCTGGCAGCTATTTGCGCATTGAGGCGCGCCTGATCCTCATTAGCGTCCTCAGGTAGGATGAGTCCATGATCATCCAATCTCTGACCAGCCTCATTGTAGGCTTGCCAATCTTCATCTCTTAAAACTCCTTCTGCATCAGCTCTAATGACTCTGTCAGCCATTGCTAATTTCTGAGTTTTTCGGTTGCTGCGTTCAAGTTTTCCCAAGTCCTGAAAAGACAAGTTGATAAGCTCCTTCTGTTTTGTGCTCCTTGTTTGCCTAGGCATACACCTGAAATACAGAAAAGAAGAAAACAAGAAACGCGTGAGTAACAAAATAGAAGTAAAAACTAAACGAAATCCCTAAACAAAACTCAATGATGATTCCCAAGAACTTCGGCAACGGCACCAAATTTGATATGGTTCAAATTACCTAGAACTACTATCTCAAATAAGAGATCAATTACAGTATTTTAGGATCAAATTCACGGAGTTCTTTTGTTCAAACAGTGAGTTAAATGTCGAGATTAAGCTAGGAGGGTATGAGTGAAATAGTAAGAAAACAAAGTAAGAAAACAGCAGAATGATTGTGTTGTAAACGATTAGGAAAAGAGCTAGGAACAGAGTATTCTCAGGAAACTATTGGTTAGTAGATCTAATAAAATCTAGGTTTTTATCGAACCATTCTTAAACTAAAACTCTAATTATGGAATAACCGGTGGGCGTGCCGTGAAACTCCCTATATCCATAGCTAATAATAACCGGAGAAGCCGAGAAACTATCAACCTAAATATGCATTTTTAACGAGTTCAATTGTTCATCTTAGTAGATAGGCAGATTCTTATTACACACCTATAAACCAGACTCATCAAATAATAGATCCAACTACAGATACCTATGGCGGGCATATCTATTGTCTGGATTCAAGATCTAGTTAATTACTCTAAATCTAGCATTAAGCATAATTAAAGATGAAGAATTCTATAGATAACCTAACAAAGGGGGCAATCTACTAAACCATATGAATCCCTAATGAGAAACCCTATTCCTAACAAGCAGATTACTCAGATATATTGAATGAAACAATCAACATAATTGAGTATGAAAGCATAAACACTGCAAAGGAGATAAGAGTTAGAAAAGATCTCTTCACTGTATTAATAACTGGAGTGAATCTGTCAAGAACAGAAGATGAATAGCTTATGTCTTTCACAATAGGGTTTGCAGAGAACTTGATAAAAGACATGATAAAAGAAAGTTAGAGCAAATCCAGTGATTAGTTTCTATGTATTTTTCATTAATAAATTTGGATAGTTTTGTAGTTTAGAAATTTTTAAGAGTTTTTGGAAATTTTATGGTCCATTTGTGGAATCTTAAGTGGGTTTCTAAAACAAAAAAATTTTGAAAAAAAGAAAATTTGTTAAATATTTTCATTTGAGCAAATATGATTATTATTAAGAATTATAAAATTTTAAACATACATGATATAGAAAGAAGAAGCAAAAAACCATATTTAAAAGCGGAAAAAAAAACGATTACATTTTAAGATTGATTCTGGTTATAATGTTGCCATACATGTTCAACTAAATCAGCTTTCAATTCTTTATGTTTAATCCGATCACAAACTCGAGCTCTAGTGGCCATCATATTACCGAGATTTGAAGGCATATCTGTAGCATAAGTGAAATCCACTTGTGAAGAGCTAGCTGATTCTGGATGTACGAATTCAGATACATCAAACTGAGTGTAACCATATCGTTCGTCCTCTACTATCATATTGTGAAGTATTATACATGCTCGCATAATATTGTCAATTTTCACCTTATCATGAAAAAGAGCTGGATGTTTGATAATGGCAAACCGAGCTTGCAAAACTCCGAAAGCACGCTCAACATCTTTACGACAAGCTTCTTGAGTTGTAGCAAATAAAGAAGCTTTATTACCTTGTAGAATTGAAATTGATTGGATAAATGTAGCCCATTTAGGATAAATTCCATCTGTGAGGTACTAAGCCAAATTATAGTCTTTCCCGTTGACTACGTATTTCACTTTCGGAGCTCGACCTTGTAATATATCATCAAAAACTGGTGAGCGGTCAAGAACATTGATATTGTTTAAGGTACCTGGAGGTCCAAAAAACGCGTGCCATATCCAGAGATCTTGTGAAGCAACGGCCTCTAAAACGATTGTTGGTTTTCCTGATCCACGTGTATATTGTCCTTTCCAAGCGGTGGGACAATTTTTCCACTCCCAATGCATACAGTCGATGCTTCCTATCATCCCGGGAAATCCACGTTGCTCTCCAATATGGAGAAGTCGTATAAGATCATCGCGTGTGGGTCTTCTTAGATACTCATCCCCGAACAGATTTATGATTCCTTCTGCAAAATGTTCCAAACATAACAGCGACGTGCTTTCACCAATTCGGAGGTATTCATCAACCGCATCAGCCGCAATACCATATGCGAGCATACGAATTGCTGCTGTAGACTTCTGTAGTGCCGAGAAACCGAGTCTTCCGGTGGCATCTCTTCTTTGTTTAAAGTATAGGACTTCATTGGAGAATCTCTCAACAATACGCATGAACAACGATTTGTTCATTCTAAACCGGCGTCGGAATATATGGGGAGGATATGTTGGATTCTCTGTAAATTAGTCGTTCACTAATTGGATGTGACCTTCTTCACGATTTCTTTCGATATAAAGTTTTTTCTTCCTTGGCTTGACTCGTTGGCGATTACCATAACTCTCTAATGCTTGATCAAAGCATTGATCAAACTTATCATCGAACATGTCGTCGAGATTATAGTTTGAAGAAGAACCTGCCATTTTAGCAAAATTATAGAAAGAGAGAGAAGAGATAAAAATGATTTGATAGAAAAGAGTGTTTATTATTGTGATAAAGAAAGTTGATAGAAATATTGAAGTAGTGTTCAGATTATATATAGAACAATAAAGGAGTAGTGTTCGGATTCTTTTTATTCGGTGTACATTCATTCATACAAAATAAAAGAGTAGTGAATGGTGCAAATAAATGGTACAATAATGAATGGTTCAAATGAAAAGAACAATCAAGTTTGTGGTGCCAAACTAAAGTACATTCTTTGGTGACAAACTAAAGTACTTGATGTCGGCACTAAAGAATGGCAAACACTTGGAGACTAAAAAAGAAAGAAGACAACATTGTTTTTATATTATTATGTGGTGTAGTGTAGTGGTGAAGAAGGAAGAATTTTCCAACGCTATGAACCATAGCAATCATAGCCTGATAGCCATTAACGTCTCTATACAGAAAACAGAGAGCCCATTCGCTGATGGTTGTGTGCTCGTTGAAATATTGTGGAATTGATAGGCCTAGGAAGATTGAGAAGCCCAGTATGAACAATGTCCTGAAGCTATTCAGGTTGCAGAATTGCAGCAAACCCAGTCCTCCAGCACCTATAAAACAGTTCTGTATTAAAGATGCTTATAGCTAAAACAAGTCATTCATTCATATATCTTGGTAAGCAAACCAATCTGAACCAAATTGCTTCAATCAAAACCAAGCCGTAAATCAGATGATTGCCAAGACCTTCTATATTATTCACTTCTGGTTAGAAACAATACTTACCTACATACGCTTAAACATGAAACGTGGTGTTACTCACAAGAATTGTTACAAATGGAGACACTCTTCGTGCATGAGGGGTTGGACATTCCTGCTGAAGTGATCTCAGGTTTAATAGTGGTTTTCCATTATTCACGAGCGTCTATATACTACAGCAAAAATTGCAAATACACTTTCTTGATCTTCTTTACTATCATGCACAATATATGATATGACCTTTCTCCTTCCGTACATTGAACCACTCTTGACTATTAAAGTGTGACAACAGAACATGAAAGGATGTCAATATTAAGAATTATTTTTCAACATGAAAGAAACTGAAGCAGCAAAAATATTGAGGAATTTACCTTTTCTAGTAAAACTGCAAAATATAAGACAACAAGAAAAAAGCTGTTAGATTTTGTAAAGGAAAATTGAAAAAAATGTGTGAAGCAGCACTAAGGTTTATGCTTACATGTTTGAATTTGAGCACCCGAAATCTTCCTTGTTTCACTAAAATGAATTTCTATCAACTTACCCTGTCAAATTTAACATCAGAGAAAGATTAAGAGATAAATAAAGACCCAGAAGTTTTAAAGACACAGAGTAAAAGAAATAAGAGTAAACAAGGAGTTTGGACGCTTACAAAACGACTAGAATTATCGTTTCTCAATGTTTTTGCATTTCCAAATGCTTCCAAGATGGGATTAGTCTTTAGTATCTCATACTCGATCCCACTTCCACCTCCAAGAGCAGCCAAGTATTGCATCGCTATCTTTGTTGTCTCAGTCTTTCCTGCTCCACTCTCTCCGCTGGATGAAAAAGAAATCTTGTGATAAGAAAACACTTTAAGATGCACAAAGTGGAAGAACTCATTCTTTCAACCAATCCACTATTTTCCATAGTCGAACTAAT